CTCTCTCTCTCTCTCTCTCTCTCTCTCTCTCTCTCCTGTCTCGTGAATTGTGTGGCATTTTTTATAACAAATATTTTGATTTACAATTAAAAATGGGCTAAATTTTTAGTTAGCGTTTGCTTGTAATGAACGCCAGATGTATGCATGGATTGGCATTCAGTGCTATATTTTATTTTTATTTTATTTTGCAATTTATTTATCGCTATTTTTTGTGGTTATAAAATATAGGGAGGGGTTGGGGTTTGTGTGCTCTGCTCTTCGATCACTATTTTGTTTTATTTTTTAAAATCCAATTTTCAATTAAAAAATCTAAATAAAGCATAAATTTAGTTGTTTTTCCAAAACTTATTTTATTTATTGTGAACTCAATGCAAGTTAACAAATATTTACAATCAATTAGTAATTGTAATGAGAGTTGTCTTGTATTTAATTAACTATAATTACCATGGTAATAATGTTGTGCCATTCATACCATGTTTAGCCGGCAGTATTCACGACCACGTTTGAGACCCAAGTGGACGCCCCGCCACCCCATCCGCTTGAGGAGCGTTTCCAAGACATCCAATTGGATGAGATTGAGGTCGAGACCAATCTCTTCGCGCCCGAAGTGGAGGACGCGGTCATCAAAATACAGGCCGGAGTCAGAGGTTATTTGGTCCGCAAACAGTTGAAGAGTACCCACGAAGACGATGAAGGTATGCATTTTCTCATCAAATCATATATTACTTATTAGCAATTTTATATTTCCTAATCATATGTTTGTTGGCATTAATCATATAAAAAACGTGAGATTTGTTTAATGTTTTTTTGTATGCAATCACTGAATGTCATCTTTAATTCCTAATAGGATTAAAGTTTTTTTAAACTCATTATGCATTTCCCAAATTATTGAATATAAGTTATTATAAATTATAATATGTTTTAATTTCTTAATAAAATCTCAAAATCACAAGTTATTCATAACTTAGGCTTTAATTTAAATGGGTTTACATTCAGTGGTTATTGGGTTAAGAAGTTATTAGGAAAGCATTTTTGAATCCCTTTTAATGTCTTTGAAACTAACTTAACATTAATCCAAACGCTTATGTGATTGACAGACACACCAGTGGTTCCGCCGCCCAAACACTTCGAAGACAATCAGACATTGAGTCCATTAAAGGATTTGGAAAAATGGAAGAAACTGTCCGATCATTTGGAGGAAAAGGTGGCCATCGATGGCGAAGACACTGTCAATAAGCCAGAGGTGATTGCAGCCGAAGAGCAGTCATCACACGTCCAGAAAATTGCCGATAAATTAGTGGAAAATGTGATTCCATTGAAGGACAGCAACGATCACAAAGTCATCGAGACTTATGTCTGCAAAGACAATATCTTAGACGTGGAACCGCTCATCGATGGCAATGTATCTTCGGATAGGGATGTGCTATTGAGCAGAGGATCTCTTTCGCCCCTCAAGACGGCCGCAGAGGACGCAAAAGTGGTCGACAGAGTGTTTAGCGTTTTAATGGCTGAAACAGAGTTTCACGAAGACGTCGAGACCGTTGCCGCAGAGATCGCTCCGCAAGAAGTGGTCACCGAATCCAAGCCTAAGACAACCGAAGAGATTAATAACGAGAAGAATTTGTTGAACGAACCGATCGTTTCTGAGTCTCAAGAGTCGGAAGTATTGGCGGAATTGAATCAAATACTCGACAACAACGAGAAGAATATGAAGAATAATGAACTAAATGCTGAGGAAGAAGAGGTTGTGTTGAGATCGGCTGAACTGATCCAACAAAATGAGGCCAAAGAAAACAAAGCGAAAGTAATTGAAATGGTGTCCGAAAACACTACACAAGAGATCATTAGAAACTCATTTAAAGAATTTGTCAAAGAGATGACACAATCGGCGCCGACGACAGACACTACCGAAGAAGAAGTAGTTTTGAGTCCAAAAGTGACCGAAAGTGCGATTATCTCAGCAGTGATTGAGCCTCCGGTCAAAGAGACGAGAAAAACGGACTCAAAGCTCTTCGAGGATGAAGTGGTCCGCAGTATCTTCGGTGACGAAGAGGTGATCAAAGCCCAGAATCAGACGCAAGTGTTTGCCATCGAGTTATTCAAACAGGACGTCAACGAACAGCAGTTGGAAAAAGTGATCACAATATCGGCGCCCGAAGAGTCAAAGGCCAACATTGAGGACAGAGTCTACAAGACATCGGTCGAAGAGTTTGTGATCAAAGCGCCAGTCGTTGAGCCAAACCCTCCGCTATCAACGCCGATACCCACCGAAGTGGTGGACACATCGCCGGCGGAATCGTCGCAAACAATACCACTCTTAGAAACGGAGCGAATCATCGAAATAATCACATCCGAGAGTCGGAAGAACTCTGTGGACGATATCATTGACGGCAGCGATGGTCAGCTGCTGTCGGCTGAGGATGAGTTGCGTCCGGTGGCGGACACAACGGAAGTGATTCCCCTCTCGTCGCCGATCATACAGATTGAAGAACAAAACGGACGGATTCTGGACGAAGAGGAGGCGGCCATCAGAATACAGGCCGCCTTCAGGGGCTTCCAGATCAGGAGATCCCTGTCGAGGGAGGCGTCGCCCAACAGATCCACTAATCATAACAATATCGACAATAATAACAATTCGCATAATAATAGAGATTTAGGACATAATAATAATAGCAATCATAATAACAGTGATATTACCGAAGAGTTAGCCACAAATCAATTGAGCGATAATTTACTCATCGCTGAGAACACGAGTGAACCGCAGAGGACGACAACAGCCGCCGGATTAATGACGGCTTCCAACGAACAGATCAATACATCGCTGGAACAACTCGAGGATCAACTCATGCAACAGTTGATCTCTACGGCTGAGGAGGAAGACAGACACCGACCGCCCGTTAATGTCGAGACGCCGGCGGACCAGTTGTTCGCAACCGAAGAACTGTCGGCACCGCTACTCCTGCAACGGATCCAACAGTCGGTCGACACTCCCGTCCAACTCAGCGAAGAGTCCGTTGAATTGCCGCCAGAATTGGCGTCATTTGTGACGCAAACCATCGCCAAAGAGATCAGTTTAGCCGAAGACAAACCGCTCATTGAAAAGTCTGACACAATAATTGTGGATCTGTTGTCTTCGTCGCCGCAACAGAAGAACATAGCCATTGAAACTCAGGCCATAAACGACATCAATAACAGTCAAGAGATAATACCGCCGCTGGAGATCAATCCAAACGCCATTGATATTCGCGAACCCGAAGTGCAGACCACTGTCTGTCCGCCGACGCCCTCTCAGATCACACCCGAAGTGTCTTTCGTACGGCCGGCCGAACAGCCGATCCTCACGAAGATATACTCATCGGAATCGGAACAGGAAAGCGATGCCATCGTCGCCACCAAAGCCGCCGACAATAGCCTCCCATCACTCATACCTGTCATTGATAACGGAAGCGCTAAGACCTCGAAGGGCGGCGCCGGAGACGCACCTAAACGGCCGAACAGGTCTATCCTTAAGGAGACAGAACCTCAACTCTTCACCGATGAAGTGAGTATTGAAATTGATCATGGTTATTTTTGTTTGGCTACCATTTTAATGATTTTAATGTCTGTTTTGTGGTGTCTTTAGCAACACATGGCGTCGGAAGAGATATCGAGTCCCGACGACGACAACCCGGAGTTTGTGGGCTTAGGGCCCAACAATCCGTTCCCGATTCGGGCCTCGAGTCCCAACCCGTTCGGCAAAAAGCGCCGGAGAGGCAAAAAAGGTGGTCAACGCAAGTGAACCCGAACTTCAATTAAAGTTATTTTTCATCACTAATAATAACAATCAGTAATTGAATTATATATAAAGTTAATTATATTTACAACAAATTCACACATATCTTATGACAAAGTATTTTAAAAATGCAAAGTTTTAACGATAATTATAATGTTATTATTAAAAGTGTAATAATTATGTTTCATTTGAGGCGCAAATTCTTTATGATAAATATTTATATTAATAGTGAATTAAAAGTCATATAAATTATAGTTAATTATAAGGTTATAATAAATTCATTATTAATTAATTAAATATAAAGCGATTCTATTGTATCATCTTTTTGTCGCAAAATAAAAGTTTAAATAATTTTTTTTCAATTGTTTTCATCGGAAGAAATGGTTTATAATTTATTTTAAAACTTTTATTTACTATAAATACAATTTATATGGGAATGTGTGTTAACAGCATTTAATTTGTTTTAAAGTTTTATTTAAATTATAAAATAAATTAATATTTAAAATTTTAACAAATTATAGCAATAGTTGTCCCATAAGTGAAACACTTTTAAGTCAAACCTAAAGTTTATAATAAAAACTAATTAAATAATAGAAATGTATTTACAATTTAGTAAACATTTAGTTTTGCAACGAATTGACTGAAAAAAATCATTAAATACTATAAAAAGTATAACAAAATGAGAATAAATTCAAATAAAATTGTAATTAAAAACATATAAATAAGTAATAAATGTGTGTTAAATGAGATGAAAACTAAACACAGAGACAATTGATTATTCCATCGCTGGGGAAGAATAATGGGAGCCAACACTAAGATCTGTGCCAACACTCGCATCGGTGGCCAAGCGGTGGACATTACGGCGCAAACCGTACGGACAGTTGGCCTGAGATTGTGAGCGCAATGCCTGTCGACTAATTGTGGCCAAACTCTTGAACACAGGTCTGACCCGTGTTTTACGCCCATTACTCTGGCAATCGTTTAGGCGTTTCTCGCTGTCGACATCATTGTGTCGATCGGTGTCTGTCTTCGGCGACACTTGACTCGCGCTGTCGATGGCGTCAGCGATGTCTTCGCCAACTGTCCTCTCACTACCAGTCGCTGTCATATATTGTCTGAACTCATGGGTCAAACAGTCGAGTGATGTATACTTTTCCTCGAATTCGTTGACCTTTTGTTGTAGCGATTGATGAGATTGTCTCATGTCTTGAATGAGTGGCGCAAACAGTGGATCCGTTCCGTGATCTTCTTCTAACGTATCGATCCTTAGTTTGCACTCAATTGCCCATTGAATATGCGATCGCTGTCTTTCATTCAGTGAATCCATCTCTTCGCGCTGCTTATCATCCATTTTAAGCCATTGCTTCCTAATATCTTCGGGCAGTGAATCCATGTTATAATGTATTCCTCCGCAGTGTTTGTGTCCACAAAACAAGAGTCGATCCAAACGTATGAATGGATTGATTGCCACACGATTTGGCCAATGAATGACTGAATTGCACACAAATACTGTTACAAACTTTTTCGAGTCCAACCCCTCTCTGTATTCTGTGATGACGTGAATGTAATAGCGATACACATATGACGTACACATTTAGGTACAGTCGGTGTCGCAAAGTTCGCGGCCAAACATTTTAAGCGCAACTTTTCAAATATAATTACAAAACTTATTAATTAATTAATTATTAAATTATATTTGTAATAATAAATTATCATTTTGTTTAAAATTAAAAGTTTAAATAATTTGTTGCAATTGTTTTCATCGGAAAAAATCGTCTATAATTTATTTTAAAACTTTTATTTATTATAAAAACAATATGTGTCGGAATGTGTATTAACAGCATTTAATTATATTTAATTTGTTTTACAGTTTTATTTAAATTATAAAATAAATTAATATTTAAATTTTAAACAAATTATAGCAATAGTTATCCCATAAGTGAAACACTTTTGAGTTAAACCTAAAGTTCAATAAATTAAATGTAAATACAGTATAACTAATAAAAACTAATTAAATAATAGAAATGTATTTAAATTTAGTAAAAATAGTTTTGCAATGAATTGACTGAAAAAATCATATAAAATACTATAAAAAGTATAACAAAATGAGAATAAATTTAAATAAAATTGTAATAAAAAACATATAAATAAGTAATAAATGTGTGTTAAATGAAATGAAAACTAAACACAGAGATAATTGATTATCTCATCGCTGAGGAGGAATGGGAGGCCAAATCTGTGCCAACACTCGCATCGGTGGCCAAGCGGTTGACATTAGGGCGCAAACCGTACGGACAGTTGGCCTGAAATTGTGAGCGCAATCTCTGTCGACTAGTTGTGGCCAAACTCTTGAGTGGTGTGACCCGTGTCTTGCGCCCATTTTTGTCGCAATCGTTTCGACGGCCCGTATCTATCATCTGATCCGTAGATGAGTGGCCAGAAGTGGACCGCAATCGGCGGGCAATTGACGACCCATTTATGTCCAAAGTGTTGAGCGGCGGTCTGACCCGTGTTTGGTGTCTCTCGCTGTCGACATCATTGTGTCGATCGGTGTCTGTCTTCGGCGTCCCTTCACTCGCGCCGTCGTTGGCGTCATCGATGTCTTCGCCGTCCGTTTCACTGCCTTTCGCTGTCATGTATTGTCTAAACTCGTGGATCAAACAGTCGAGTGAT